GACCATAATGAGGAATGCTGGCTTGGAGAATTTGACACTCACGGGATATATTAAAGACAAGATGGAAACAAGTAAACTACCTAACGAGCTTGAGTAAATAGATGGCAAACTGGGAGTGATAGTAAAGTGATAAATATTACAGCTACAAGGGATAGGAAGTTGTGGCGAGCCATGATTTTCCAAGCTCTGAAAGAACACGGCACATAAACGATTTCCATGATCATCTTGATATAATATCATAATCTTTGGCTAGGGCCAAATCAAACTGACCTTAGGTATCGACCCATCAGGATCTTTCAGGTGGCTAATTACTACAAAAAAAAATCAGGTAGGCAATCAGGGAACTAGACGTGAAATGTAACAAGTGAATACGCCGAGGCTCAAAATAACCTTGGACAAATACAACTAAATGTAGCAAAACCCGTTAGAACAAGATATAACTGCTGGACAAACTTGATGGGTCTGACCTTCAAAAACTGCTAATTAAAAAAATTGTTTATACTATAAATGAATAAATAATAAAAAAAATAGGAAGAATTCAGACAAGCGTGAATTAAGTTTCTGCTTTCTAGAAAAAAAACAACAGTATACTAGTAAAATATAGAAATGTGCTATAGGCCTTTTCTCCGACACTGAAGCAAGTCGGCAATGCCACTAGAAAGCACTGGGGTCTACAGGAATTAATGAAATGTAACAAGTGAATACGCCGAGCTCAAAATAACCTTGGACAACTACAACTGAATGTAACAAAACCCGCACATGCTAGCGGATGTTACAAAAGCTGTCTTTACCCACAAGTCCGGCACGTCATGCTGCTGTGTCCAACCACGTGTTAAAAATGTATTTTCTCTAAGCGGCGTCTACTCGCAAACTATTAACTGTGTAAAAATGGGCCTCTGTTAATTGGCCTTTAAGTGTCACATGACCGAACAAAAGGGATGAATTGATGGGAAGAGGACGGGAAGTTATCCCAACGAAATAATTGACAAAATATTTATTATATACAATTGAGGCTTTTATAATTGCCTTCGTCCTTTTCATAATTATATTTTGGGGGTGGATGAGTTCATTCAGATTAAGTAAAAATACTTACTTTTTTTTTTCAACATTAACTTTATAGAACATTTTTGCTGTTGTTTTGCATTATTTTCTGGCATCTTTCTAGCAACGTCATAATTCTCTCAAACAATAAAGAAAATAAACTGCTCTAAATGCCTTTGATAATCTTCCAGATAAATCATTTCTTTCTTTTTTTAATTTTTTTTATTTTATTTTATTTTAACAAACTTAGTAAAGACCGTGATAAATCGTAATCTAAAGATGTAATAATCTGGTAAATAATCTGGAGGAGTGAAAAAAACCCAGATAAAATCTAACAGTATTTATCTGATCATCAAAGAAACGTTCAGTCAATCTAACATTATTCTAATGAAATATTGCGTCCATCTTGTTAAGTAACTCTCGACGCTTTACATTAATTGCTGCCTCCAACTGGGCTAATTGTGCATATTTGATCGAACCTTATAAGATCTTATATTAAAATTTTGCCTTTCATTCCCCGATATTAATTTAGATACTGGCCCGTTTTTTGAACATTGTGCGACGCGCCATTTTTCTTGTTTCTTGTGTTTCACACTGTTGTAAAATATGCACATTTCATTACCCGTGAAATTTGCTTAAAAATGGAACAATCTAGCCCAATATCTTTTCTTTCTTCTTGTGTGGAAGCCACACATCAAAGTGACTGTCATAATCAAGTTTGTTCAAATGTTGCTTATTACTTGATTTGCATATTCTGAGAATGTTGTGCGGTTTGGCTTATACACAGATGGAGATGATTCTGCTGAAGATGGTTTGGCGGCGCCCATCTTTTCTCCAAACACTTGACCGACGGTCGAAGACTATGGAATATGATGAGGGTCGTTCTCAGTCCGTACACTTGGCCGTCGAGTCCATCTGAGACATCTCTGGTCATGGGCTGATTTTGCCCTCTTCTACCCAGTCAGTAATGTACACTGCGTACCAAATTATTATCGAGATAACTTTTTTTATAATATTTCAAAAATCGTCCAATCAATTCACACAATGTTGGCAACATTGACCTGCGCAATCACTGAAATTTTCGTACAGATCTGCGCAATGTAAACAAACTGGCGTCATATTTGTTATCAGCACGGTGATTTGAGCGTGCCAAATTATTAGAAAGGTTTAGTAAAGTTCCCAGAATTGAGCAAACAAAACGTTTATTAATGTTGCATATGAATGTTTATGATCAAAAGAAGCTAATAAATAAGATAATGAAGTAAATAATAACAGATTCAAAAAAAGGCACAGTTTTAAACAAATTAATAGGGAATGTGCTTTCTCTGTTTTGAAATTACTTGAAGAAGTAGACGATCCACAGAATTTGTTAATTGTAGGATGTCATCGGCTGTAATGCCGCGAGATATGTCAAGAATTGCTTCCCACAACTCAGCGTTGCTTCTGAATTGTCGTCCGCTGGCGTACAGTCTTCGCTTCATGATGCTCCAAAGGTTTTCGATTGAGTTAAAATCCGGAGAATTTGCTGGCCACTTCATTTTTCGATGTCCATCGAAGCCTAACTGTTTCAAATATTCAGTAGTCTTGTGAGCAGCAAGTGAGGGAGCATTATCTTGCATAAAAACAATGGCCCTTCTGAAGTCAACTCTTTGCCTTTTCATCCACGGTTCAAGATGCCCATTCATCAACGCTATGTATGCATCAGCGGTCATTTTGACGCCATCTGGTACTCTACATGGGCCTACTAATGTTTTTTCAATAATACCACCCCAGATCATTATGCATCCACCGACTTGTTGGCGTCTCAAACTCTGATGGCGATTCTGTCCGTTCATTAGCCAGCCTTTGCACCATCTATCTGGCCCATCAAGTGTTGCTCGAGTTTCGTCTGTGAACAAAACTTTAGAGAAGTCAATCTTCATATTGTCCTCGGCCCATTTCCATTGATTTTGAATGTGATTTCTCGTCAACGGACGCTACGATACAGGTTTGACTGTTGTTGCTATTTCCCTCAGATACCGACACCGATTACTTTTAGACACAGTAGGATCCCCAATGCGACTGAAAAGCTCTTGATTGGTAAGTCCAGGGTTATTCGTGGCCTCTCGTTTAAGTCGTGACATGAGACGACGTGAAATAACCCTCGGCTTGCCTGTATCTGCCCTATTGCGTACTTGTGTAGGGTCGGCGATGATCTTTTTCACTGTTTGATGACACCTCCCTATCATTTTAGAAATTTCTAGGGTAGATTTACCTTTTGAGAGTTCTGAGGTGATAATTTTCTTTTCAGCATCACTTAAACTGCTTTTACGGCCCATCATTTCACTAAATTCTTAGACTTTTCTAATAATTTGGCACGCTCAAATCACCGTGCTGATAACAAATATGGCGCCAGTTTGTTTACATTGCGCAGATCAGTACAAAAATTTCAGTTATTGCGCAGATCAGTGTTGCCAACATTGGGTGAAATTTTTGTGTGAATTGATTGGACGGTTTTTGAAATATTAGAAAAAAGTTATCTCGATAATAATTTGGCACGCAGTGAGGTGCAAAACTACTTCCTCTTTTTTTTTTAGCCTGCCTGTTGAGGTAGTTTTCAGGAGTGTGGCGCTCCTGGTGAGTCAGAAAGAAGGATCCAGGCGTTCGAGAACAAATGCATGAAAAGCTCTTCTGCATGTCCTACTGGGAGCACAAAATCAATGATTATTTATTAAGGTCAAAAGTCCCGTGGGCCGACAGGAATCACTCCTCGTCACTATTAAGCATCGGCAGATGACATGGTTTGGCGATATCAAACGACATAACAGCCTTTGATAGACTATCACGCAAGTCACTGATGAAGGTGGACGCAAGCGGGGACGGCAACGCAAAAGCTGATCAGACAACGCCAAAGAATGGACGGACATGACAATGCCGGGAATCCTGAGAGCCACCGCCGACAAATCATCCTGGAAGCGGTTGTCTGCTTCTTCTGCCTTTAGGTATGACTGGATCAGTCGAAGCAACGATAATGATGATGATGATGATGATGATGATGGCTAACTCCTCCGTCATATATTCTTAAATAATGTTCTCTGTTTTGATAAAAATCAAACCTCAACTAGTTTCTCTGAGTAATCTTTCAGGGAGTAATCTTGAGCACATAACTTCACAAAGCACTTTCGACCTGTTTGCTCATTCAACAAAGATTTTCCATAATCAGCATTAAGTCCGTTTTTGCGTTTTTCAATAAAAAAAACAAATATCTTGGAAATGTTGCTTATTTTTTTCCATCTCATGTTAGAATCAATAAAAATACATTAATTTTGTCTGCTTAAAAAAAATGGATGGTAATATAAAATCCAACCAAAAACGATCATTTAGAATGAAGCTAAACGCTCCTAAAGCTAACGGAAAAAGTAGCAATATACACTATATTTTCTTTCTTGATATGAATAAAGAGCTTTACTGATCTAATATATTGAACAACGTATCACAAATTGGCGTGAAAGATAAACTTCTCCACAAGTATTCCATAATCAGCCATGGATATTTATTTGGGGGAGGGGGAGTATTGAACCTCACAGCTGTCAGTCTGATAATCAAATTACTAAACGTAGCTGAGAGGTTTATATAAATGTAGATTGTTTGTACGCCATATTGCGTTGCTATCTGCTGCCATTATAAATTAAATGTCGTTTTTGTTACAAGTCATATTTGTCAAGCACACCCACCGACATTGATAATGAATAGCTTTAATCTAACTGCTGATGTAATTTGTAAAACTATAGCGACAAATTTTTCAGTTCACTTCTTAGATTTCATTTTAACTAACACGGATATCAGCAGCATGGTTGGACAAAAGAAGAAACTAGGGTTTCACAAGACGAGCACGCAAGGTAGAATTTCACCATTACCACTTGGTACGATGCTAATTATGAGAGATTCTTAAGTGAAATGGATTGCGTACCGGCGAGGATCTACAGGCGGGAAAGGTTGAAAGCTTCATCGGCTTTATATTGTAAGATAGACAGATAGATAGATAGATAGATAGATAGATAGATAGATATGAACAGAATGGGATAAATAGATACATAGATATGAGCAGAATGAGATAGATAGATAGATAGATAGATAGATAGATAGATAGATAGATAGATAGATAGATGTAAAGGTCTCCAGCATTTTTATTAATGAAATATTTTATTCTCAGTAGTTTATAGCATCAAAGTGTTGTTTCGTTGTCGAATAGAAATATTTTTGCCAGTGTTTCATAATGTTTAGTTGATCTTTATTTTTGTGTATTCCATTGCATAAGTGGCTGATGGATGGATATATATATTTTAAAATCAACTGGGGCGAATCCAGTTATGCATGTCTTATATTACGGGACCACACTGTTACTGATCTTATACCGGGTGTAACAGCAAAATTGTCCAAATCACGTTAGAGCATGTGATAATTGTCCATCCCCAAATTGTTTCATATCTAAAAAAAAAAAAAACACTAAACTAATTGAGTTTCTTTTCCCCAATATTTCAGATAAGACGTTCAGCCATTTGTTGTAAGAATCACTGAAAGATCATTTGAGTTATTCTCTTTCTAAGAGAACAGAGTAAGATCGTTTTGTGTCATCCCCCACTGTCTTCCCAAATGAGCAATGGTGAGAGGAAAAAGATCATTCAGGACTTCAGTGCCAACATTCATACTCTGGCTTCCATCTTCAAAGTCCTTTCAAGAACCATCAAAAGAATAGTGAATAAGTTTAAAAAAGAGGAAATAGTAGAGAGGAAAACTGGATCAGGAAGAGGGATCATTTTAACTTAGAACTAAATAGATAAATTAGAAAAGATCCAACTCAATCCATAAGACGTTTGGCACGTGGAAGGGTAGTTTCAACTATGACAGTCCAAAGAGCAGTAAAAAAGCTTGAAAATGAAATCGTACGTGAAACGTGTGAGGCACATTGTTACTTCGGCACAGAAAGTTAGAAGGTTAGAGAGGGCGAAGATCATCTTGAACAAGTTGGAAAATGATCCTGGAATAACATATATGTACTTGAACTTTATTTTCAGTATATTTTGTTTATGTTTTCCTTAAGTAAAATATTGTAATCTTTGGGGTTTACCTTCTATAAGCATCTAGTTTTATCAGCAGAGGTAAATGATTATTTACACTATATACACGGGCGCTATTGCCCTCAGCATTGTTATTGACGTTATAACAATGTTTCGGATGTTGTGTCCTCCGGAATTCATCAGGTGTATACCGATCCAGGCCACCTACATTTCCTAAATTCCGAACTGAACGCTTTACGTAATCTACCAGGTTAGACTGTTCTCATTCCTCACAGTTTGGAGGATCAGACTAAAAAGTCGAAATTAAGGCTCAAACTATAAAGGCGAAATTCAAAATCAAACTAAAAAGGCGAATTTAGGATCAAACTAAATAGGAAAAATTGACGATCAAACTAAATAGGTGAAATTGAAGATCAAACTAAAGAAGCGAAATTGAGGATCAAACTAAGTATGCGAAATTGGGGATCAAAATAAATAAGAGAAATTGAGGATCAAACTAAAAAGGCGAAATTGAAAATCAAATAGGCGAAATTGAGGATCAAGATAAACAGGGAATATTGAGGATCAAGCTAAATATATGAAATTGATGATCAAACTAAATAGAGGAAATTGATGATCAAAATAAATAGGGAATATTCAGGATCAAACTAAATAGTCAAAATTGAGGATCAAGCTAAAAACTCGAAATTGGGGATCAAACATAATAAGCGAAATTGAGGTTCAAACTAAATAGGTGAAATTGAGGATCCAAATACACTGGCGTAATTAAAGATCAAACTACACACCCGAGATTGAAGATTGGCGAATTTGAGGGTTGAATTTCATTGGCGAAGTTAAGGATTGGACTACACTGGTGAAATTGATGACACTAGCGAAATTAAGGATCAAACTGCACTGATGTAATTGATCTGACTGGTAAAATTGCAGATCAAACAGGACTGTCGAAATTGAGGACCAAAGTTGTATTGGCATTTTTTTCTATAAGACACACTTAACACCATCGCGCTACGGTAGGCGTCCATTTGTTTTCTCTTTATTGTTGTCTTTGTCGGCGTCTTCGTTTATTTTTATGTTTTATATAAACGTTTTTGTTGGGTTTTTTTTTCACTCACCCATCTCTCTCTCCGTCTCCCTCTCTCTATCTCTTTCTCACTCTATCTATCTATCTCCGTCTATCTCCTCTCTCTCTCTCTCTCTCTCTCTCATTCACTCTCCCTCTCTTTCCACCAAACAAACACACCCACACACTGACAATTTTTCGCTGTTTTTTCTCTTTAGAAATTTCGCTCCAAGATCTGTTATAAGACATAATGTTCTTCTATCATCTCCTACAGACTTTTCCCCCTCATGCCCCCACCATTCAGTAAAACTATTTTCTACTATTCCTACCAACTACCCGCAAATCCCTTAAGCCGAAAGCGCCCGATGTTTTACCAATCTTTTTACTTGTTTATTTTTTATGCTTTTTTATCTTCTTCTTTATTTCTGAAAAATACTTTTCCAGTGTTCCACTTTTTCTTTTTTTTTTTTTAATTTTGTGGAGGGGGACACTTGAAAATGTTTGCCACACACGACAAAATCAGGTCAGTTGGACATTAAAAAAAAATCCATTTTCTCTAGACGTTGAATGTTTTCTTCCTGTTGGTCACATTTGATACAAGAGGAAAGAAAAGAAAAAAAGAAAAAAACATTCGCTTCCAGATAATAGAAAAAGAAAATGAGACAAAATCCGTAAAAATTCTCATCAAAATATACTTCCGTTAAAGAAAAAAAAAACGCCTTTTGCCCGAAATTTAATTTCTTTCTCTTTCGGATATATCACCGCTTATTATTGTTTTACCTTTTATTTGTTTTGATAAGAAAGGAGAAAATATATCTTTTGTTTAATCCTTATGGAAAGTCGACTAATTAAGTGGCAAGATAAACTTCAACTGGCGCCGATAGCTTTGTGGCACTTTAACTGGGCAACTGTCTGAGTTCAGAAGTTCAATATTTGACGCGTCTTACTTGGCTCATGTCGGGTAAGTTTTGTTTTATCATCTCTCAGTTGCATCCCTGTCTTCGGCTTCGTGCGCCTCGGTTGTGGCCCCTTCGGAGCACAGAGGCGCAACCGAGGAAAATCATACTGTGAGATGCCCAGCCCTGGGAAACAGATGCCCGAGGTTGCACCCTCTCATAGCACTAAAGAGAGGGATCGGTGCTCGCACCGAAGACATCGCAACCGATGGTTACGCTGGGCTCGTGGAATTTTGTTCTTGTCCCGAGTGTACACGCACGGGTTCCCCACATTAAACGCAATCTTGTGTCACATCCCGTCTCAGTGGGGAAGCCAGAGTAAATATTCTTACAAGCCAGACTAGTAACAAAACTTTAATTGACTATTTCCAAAATACCACGGACCGAGCAACGATGAAGTTCTAGCAATAAAAAGAAAACTTACACTTAACATCAGGAAGAATCAATTGAAATTTCTGAATCACATAATGAAGAAAGGGGGCATGGAAAATTTGATACTCACGGGACAGATTGAAAGTGAAAGAAACAAAGCAAAATCTACCTGGCGAGCTTGAGTTAATGGATGGCGGGCAGAGTTTTGGAGAAATGGCAAGAGGCCAAAAGTTATTAAGAGCTACAAAGGACAGGAAATTGTGGAGAGCTATGATCGTCAACGTCCTGAATGGACACGGCACATAGACGAACAGTAATCTCTGTCCAAAAAAAGTAAAAGCTACGATTTCGAAAGCTCTTCTCAGTTGGGAAATTGACTCAACACAATCTTCCTACTGTCGTTCCCGTACAGCTAACCATAGATATTACACCCTTGTGCAAATTGATTGAAACGAAACAAATAATTCCGATATTATTTACTTTTTTTCGTATTTTTCCAATGAAACGTGACCCAGTACACATGTTAGTACTTCGTATGTCCATTCCACGAAGTCGTTCCATGCAGATTGACCACAGATTTTTGATTGGATTTAAATCAGGAAAGTTACCGGGCCAGTCTATAATATTTTGATTAGATCACTGGTAAGACGTCAATTCTACTACAATAGCTTCACCTGTGGAACTCCCTCCAATTTTCTTGTTTCCCTGATAGTTATAATCTCCAACTATTCAAATGTAATGTCAATCGACGTCTCCAGATGCCTTGATCTATCCACTATCATTTTCTTTATCCTTTCCTCTATCACTCCCTATTTGCTCTGGCTCCAACTCTCTGTAACCCCTTGTATGCTAGTGGCTTCCCGCCTTGCTTGGGGTGAAAACTTTAAATATATATATATATATATATATATATATATATATATATATATATATATATATATAGGCTCATAAAATATTATTCTACCTACCAACTCTACAATTGAAAAGAATTTTCTAAGCTTAACATAAAATGTGTTACAACTTCAAAAACGAAACACATCACATGATTTTTTTTCACTTTTTTATTAATTTTCCTAACATTTTTTGGTATATAAAAATGTATATATTATTGTCATTTATAATGTCTACATGGATAAATATCAAATGCTAAAAAACAAAATCCAAAAAACTTTAAATATTGACCAATTCATTTAAAATTCGAGAAAATTTCTTAAATGAATCCAAGAAAAATGTCATCTTACGATGCACACATAAGATATCTAGTCGAATATTCCACATTTTCACAAATTATGTGCGTGTGATTCTTTAAGTCATCCACTGAAGAACTGAAGAGAAATTAACTTTTTTAAAAAGCTAAAAATACTGAACAAGTATACTGTAAAAAAAAAAAGGTTATATCAACATCAGAAATGGCTTTAAGCAACAATTAAATCAACAATTGAATTACAACATAAAAACAATACTAATATGTATCAACAACAAAAGGGAGTAAAGTGGAAGATCAGACCTAATATAAAATCTGCCGGGTATAAATCTATCCAATACCGAACTGGAAGCCCTTAGCTTTGTTTTAAAATTCGCCACCGGGATTAATAAAAGAGACCTAGTTGATACAATAGTTAAAAATTATAGACAAAACGACACAAAGGAAGGATTCATTCCAGTAATATTTACTGCCACTCCAGTAAGGAACAATGAAAAACTCTACCA